CTGCACCTCCACATCCCCAACACAGTCCACAGTATCTCGTGCCACAGATTTTGTAAAACAGTAGTAGCCACCTCCTCTCCCCCCACGAGAAAGTCTGTCTATCTCAGACCAGCTGGGTCTGATGCTAAACCTCCCAACACCGGGAAGCCCAAGACCTCCAACCCTGTATCAGGTACCCAGACGGTGACTGCCAGCCCTGGGACGATGTAGTGCCAAGTGAAATGGGACTGAACCTGCAGCTCATGCAGCCCAGCAGGTTCTCAGCAGCAGATTTGATTGGATGAATGAATTGGAATAAAATGTGACTTGAGAAGAAAACTGGAGATGGAATGATAGATTGGAAAATGGAAAGAAGAAAAGAGAGGAGAATTTGGATGGAATGATATTGTGGGAATGAATGTTTGATGGAGAAATGAGATGGATGAGCAATGTGTGACGAGAGAGATGTTTGAATGGTGAATGTGAAAATAGAGAATATGGGGATGGAGATTGAATGAGGAATGGAGATTGAGGATGTATGAATAAGAGGAAGATGAAAGATTGAAATGAAATGTGGATGATGAGATTGATCCATATTTGAAAAATGAAGGATTTTTGGAAGATATGTGGAATGGTAGATTTTGAATATGATATGTATATGTGGATGATTTGATTGGATGTTTCGTAGATTAAGATGTGATTGTTGTGGATTATTGGAGTGGGAGGAAGGATGAGAAAACATATAATTAATTTCAAATTGAGGGAATGATATTAGAATTTGTAATTTTGAGAAAGATATTGGGAGATGGAAAGAATATTAAGAGATGATCAATGGATGAGATGGAGGATGTTGGATGGATGAATAGAGAAGATGGAATGTGATGAATATCTTATTTGATATTGGATTGGAAGAGATGATGAGAATAGTGATTGGAATAATTGAAGATTGAAATATTGATCCAATAAATTGTGCAATTTGATGATTGATAATGGGTGAATTGAGAAAATGAGATGCATGGATGAAATGTGCTGTATGTTTAAGAAGATTTAGAGGAATGAAAAGATTATAAAGAATGATTTTTGATGATGAATTGTAATGATGCAATAGTTTGTTTTTAATAATGACAATATGATATATTGTGATGATGATTGTTAAATGTGGAGAAGATGATGCTCGGAGTATGTTATGTGAATTTGGAAAGATGATGAGATGGATGGATTTTACTCTTGCCATTTTTGTGTGTGAGAGATTGATATGAGGATGATGGAGGATGATGAATGATAGAGATTGTTTGTTTTTTATTTTTTTTTGATTATGATATGTAAATCTTTAGATTTTTGTAGGAATGATGAAAGATGTAGAGAAGATTGGGAAAGAAAATGTGGATAAAATAATTAGGGAATGATCAAGAGAGAAAAAGAATGGAAGATATTGTGAAGGAGATAGAGATGATGTGGGGGATGATGAATGAGATAAGAGATTATGTGGATGTATAGGAGGGAGGATAAGGAAAAGAGTAGAGGATGATGACGATGATTTGAAGGGAATGTGATTGGAAGAAAGATAGATGAGATGATACCGATGAGAATGAAATGGGATTGAGATGAAATGGAAGAAGAATTGAATGTGATTTGAATTGAAGATGTGAGGGAGATTGGAAATGGAGAGATTGTTTAAGAGATTTTATGGGATTGAATAATGATGATCCGAGAAAATATAAATGGGCAAGATGGAATATATAATTGTTTGGAAGAGAGAGAAAGGATGAGATACAGCAGAGAGATGATGAGAATGAATGAGAGAAGATGAAGAATGATCCGAGGGAAAAGATGAGAGATAATGAGAGAGAAATGTGTGTGGATGGACTTTATATATTGATTGTAGATGGGATATGAAGAGAAGTTGTGAGAAAATTGATAGGAAATGGAAGAGAATATGATTTGAGAAGATGGAATGGATGATAATAAAGATGTGATGGAAAGATAAGAATGCAATGATGAGAGATGAGATGTGATGAGAAAATGTGGATTAATGAGAGAAAGATGGAAGATAGATGAAAAATGTTAGGAGAGATTGATGAAAGGATGAGAGGAAGGATTGAATGGATGAATGAAATCAGATGATGGGATGAAAAATAGATAAATATATCGATTGAGAAATGATGAAGAAGAATGAAGGATTGAAGATAAGATGTTAAAATTTGAGGAAAAATGGATGAGAAGAGTTTGAGAGGGAAATGAAAGGATGCTTTTGAAGGAAATGAAGAGGAGAACGAAAGAGAAATGAGATGAGAATGAGAGACAGTAGATGAAATATGTGATGATGAAATGAATATGAGATGGGATGATAATGCAGATGTGATATTGGAATGATTGGATGATGCAAGGAAAAAGAATGATAAAGATGATTGAGAAAGAGGGAAAAAAGAGGGGATGAGAGAAAGATAGAGAATTGAGGTGATTGGCTAGATGGAAGAGAGGAGAGGATGAGGCGATTGAAGATGGATGGATTGATTTTGGAAATGGGAGATTGAAGAGAGGAAAGAATGGATGGGATGAAAAAGGATTTGTGGGAAATAGGATGAATAGAATAAATAGAAATGAATTGGAAATAGGGATAAAATTGGATTAAGAGTGAGAAATGAAGATGAGGGAATGAAAGAAGAAGAATTTGGAATGATGATCAGAGGATAATTGAGTGAATGAAGAGAATAAGATGAAAAGAGGAAAGATAATGAGAAGAATGATGTTTAGAGAAGAGAAATGAGTATTATATGTTTGAGATGGAATTGAGAATGGAAGGGAAGAGAAAATTTGAACGGAAGAGAATATCGAGATATTTAAGGAAGAAGAGCAGGATAATATGATGATGGATTATGTTGGATTATGTAGAAGAAGAGAAAAATGATATATATGATGGAGAAGATATGGAGATGGAAAAGGGAAGATGAACATAATGAAAAAGAGAATGGATTAATTGAAGGATAAGAAATGGAAAATGAATAGAGGATGTGATGACGTGATGGAGGAATGATGGATTATGATGGAAATGAATGAGGTGGAAGAAGATGAAGATGAGAAATGAGAGAGGAGAAAATAAGATAAGAGATGGATGAAAAAAGATGGATGAATGAGAAGGAAGGAGGGAGATGAGATGATAGGGATTGATGGAAGATGATCCAACTACAGCAACAGTTCCAACAACTCCAGCATTCCATCCAGCACTCGGCAACCCCTGCTGCTACCATGACAATGATGCCTCCCACCATGTACCCCCATCCCTCTCTGGTTGCCATGACGATGGGTGGAATGCCAGGAATGGGCCACTCGGTTGCCATGCCAACATCTGGGATGGTTCCCATGAACGCGATGATGGGCCAGTTCAGTCCAGCAACATACTCCCCTCCTCACCCTCCACTTATCACCTCCACACCTACCTCTCAGGAGAAGCCACACCGACAAAATGATGTAATCCCAGAGGAAAAGCCCCGCCCCCAAGGAGCCGGAACAAGTCGACCGGATAGTGAGGGGCCCAGTGATTTAACAGCTCAGCTGCGGGCAGGAGCTCTGGGTCCAATGGAGCCTCAGTTTGACAAGCTCATGGAGGATGTTAGGGAAGCTGAGCAGTCCGCATTGCTGAGGAAGGTAGGAACTGAACCTCTCTTTTCCAGCTCACCCACCCACACCCTGCCTCAGGTGCCTGTGGAGCTGGCTGACAAGGAAGGAGACGGATCCTACTCAGGAATGGCAGCTGTTCTGGCTGAGGCTCTCAGAGAACGCAGGAAGCAGCTGACAACAACTGACAGACGTGAGAACTAAAAACCTACACACACCTCTGATGTCATCTTTACCTCTGCAGTCAACCAAACTTCTGTCTCACTTGATTTGGACGACTCAAGATTTTCTGAGTGGGACTCCTAACAACTTGGCTACTTTTTCACTGGCGTTTTTACTACATACACAGTTCAACTTACTATAACTGATGTTTTATAGAGCTTATTTTTTACCCTCGGTGCACATCCACAGCGAGGGTTACAGTATATACCTAATTGGTTTGTCACTGTGTAGTGTGTGTGTTTTATTTATTAATTTGTCTGCTCATTGATTTTCATGCTAGCATCGCAGTTTTGGTGAGAAAGGCGATCAGTTTAATCTTTTGTGCATGTTTCGCAAAAATTTAGAATCACGTAGAACATTATACTTGAAAAGATGACTGTTGTTCATAAACATGGTTGTCATGGAAATGATGTATACGAATACGTACGAAGATTCATCTCCATGCAAAAGGAACATGACATTAGGTGACATAAGGCAGAGCTCCCAGGTCATATAGTTTGCAGGTGGATTGGTTCACTTTAAAAAATCAGAAGTTTTTTCGGCCCTACCAACATACGTAAGGACAATATTTAATAGCTGCCGTAGGCCTACTATTTCGGAACATGACATTAGGTAACATAAGGCAGAGCACTTTCAGCTCAAATAGTTTGCAGGTGTATTAAAAAATCACAACTTTCTTTCGGCCCTCCCAACATGCATATGGGCAATATTTAATAGCTGCCGTAGTCCTACTCTTACGAAAAATTAATGAGGGCCTAAAAAATTCTTAATTTATAATTCGGCCAGTGCAAGTGTTGTCAGCTGTTATAATTCTGAGAACAGAATACAATTCCATCATGATACTGTACACAAGCCTACGACCTAACTGCAGCACACACAAACACACAAACAGTAAAACACACAATCACTGTTGTATTGGGGAAGATTGAACAGTAACATCAACTGGCGTACGCCTGTGTGATATGCATGTGTGTCAACTACAGTTTCAGCACTCAGTCATGCGAGTGGGGGGCCGGGGACAGTAGTCTGTGAGCCGGCAAGGCAGACGGTCTGGGTTAGTGGCGTAGTGACGCAGGAGCTGGTCAATTCGGGGGAAAGTTGGGCCGTCATCAATGCGGTACATGGCAGTACCACCTGGATTTTCCATCTTAGTAGAGTGTCAGAGGTACATATGTAAGGCAGGGAGAGAGAGAAGTCAACTGACACTTACCAGCATGATCTGGAAGTTCTTGCTCACTCCCTTTGAAAACATGGTGAGGACAAATGAGTTGGGGACGGTGGTGCTGTCCCTAACAAGGAAGGACCTGATTGGAAGACCAGACCAGCTCCACAAACACTCAGGGAAGGGGCGACAGAATGACTCACCCATCGAAGCCTCCCATTGATTCCAGGCGGCGGATGGCTTCATCGCGAGGAATGGCTCCATGATACCATGGAAACTCAAACATCTCAGACTGGTCAGGTGACGCGGACCTGTTGGGCCGTGGCTGCAGAAACAGTACAAACAAACGTTGAGAGGAGAAAAAACAGTTGAATGTAGAAATAAACAGTGAGCGGGCGGGGGGGAACATACCTGAGTTGGCGGAGGTGTCTGATGGTAGCTCTGACCAACATAGGCACTGTGACTGGGACTTCCTCTGAAGAGAAAGAGTTCTCAAAATAATGATGGGTTCTTCCACACCACACATACGCACACACACGATAAGTGCATACACAGACCTGGGTGGAGGGGCAGGCTGGTTGGGAGCTGGGTAGGGATTGTAGGGAGCTGGTGGCTGAGGAGGAGAGTAAGGAGCAGGTGGCTGTGGGGGTCTGTAGGGAGCTGGAGGCTGAGGAAGGCCAGAGCTCTGCGGAGTCACCTGCACGTCGCTCCTCTTTGGAGGCCTGGGAGCCGGGGTAGGCTTGGGAGACGTGCCAGGACGAGGAGCCACAGGGGGAGGCTGGCTCCGTGGCGCCGGGGGCTCCGGGGTACGCTCCGGAGTATTGGTGGAGGGTGGGGTGTTGCTGGTGGAGTGGTTATCATCCACATCCTCTCCCTCCGACTGACTACCCCTGGCAGGGAAACAAGAGGAGGTATAGTATTATACACAAAGGGAGGGAGAGAAGGGAGGGAACCTGCGAGCTGAAGTAAGGGGAATGGTAGAGCTGCTTCTTGATCTCCTCCTCCTCGCGGTGGGTATTGTACTGCTCCCTGATCTTGTCCATGTGCCTCTCCAGACGAAATCCAACCAGCTTCGAGACTCGGTCCTGGGTCAGAGTTCACATATTACCCACACCCACCACATACAATCAGTTTTCTCACGTCAGCCTTTGGCTTGCTGCCTTCAGGAGCTCCGAGATCCTCCAGCTTGAACTGTGTCAGTTTGGCCTTGTGGAAGTTGTCCCGCAGCTGGAGCCCGTACTTGGCGAGGCGAATGCCGGCAGTCCAGGAGAGAGCTGTGGCCTCATCATCAGAACACAACACCTTGATGTCCTTAGGCCCAGGCACAAACTGGCGAGGAAGGGGCTGCAGAGACAAACACACTTCACCAAACTCACTCTTTCTGTCTGTTACTAACTCTCAGAGAAAAGCAGAATTCCGTGGGGGCCTTCACGACCTTCTTGAAGTTGATCCCATGGTAGAGTTCGTAGTCTTCAAACTGGACCAGTAGCTGCAGGAATTTGGCACCCTGTGGTGGAGGGAGTCCACAGCTCAGAGCTCAGCCAAAACTTGCAGACCAACCTTCTGCTTCCCCTTGGTGGAGTAGTAGAGACCAGATGCCCTGAGAATGAAGAAAACCTTCTTCCAGCTCTTCTTGTAGCCGTCCTTGAGGTTGAGCCAGCCCTCAAGCTCTGGGACACGAGAGGTGGAGGAGAAATACTCCTGCAGCAAGATCTTCCTCGCCTTTTCCGCCCTCTCCAGAGTTGTCACCTTGGCAATGGCAGCAACGGACGTCTTCAGGTGCTGGGGGAAGTATTCTACAAAGAGTTGTCAGAGATGAAAGAAGTGCGATAGGGAGGGGCTCCTCACATAGGATCTTCAAAGAGGGCCGTATTCTTAGTCGTTCTGTTGAAGAGGAAAAGTCACCACACTGGTACAGTGTGCTCGGGGCGAACGAGTCATACCAGCGGACGTCGTGCTCGGGGAGATCTGTGCTGTGCGCACAGAAGGTAGGAAGAGAAGAGACGGGAGAGGGAGGTTGGCCTATGACGACAGACGCGGGAAAACTCTCCACTCGGTTCATCTGTCACTCATGTCCTCCACTCATCGTCTCTTGGGTCAGAGGTTAGCATTATGTAATCGCAATGTGTAGGCCCCGCCCACTCACCGAGGCTGACGTCGCCGAGCTGCTCCAGTAGGACCCAGTTGGGTGACTCGTCAAAATGGTTTTTGACAACCAAAAGATGGCACACCATGGAGGCCGTCATGCCTTCTTCCACCACCACTGTTTTGTTACTGCGGTCCACGTTGAAGACCTGAGGGGGATATTATTACAGAGTCAACAATTGTGGAGCCACAGCACATCGAGTGGCAGACACAACCATCCCACTCATTTCCATGACAACAGGCCCACCTTGATAGCAACCTTCTTCTTGTGAGCCAGTTTCATCTTCTCGATTCCAATCTTCATCTTTTCCTCTTTCATCCTCTCCTCTCTCTCTTCCTGCACAACGGAGGGAGGGTTGTAGGTGAGCAAAGTGTGCCTACTTATGTACATTGGTTATGAACACAAGCAATGCAAACATGGCACATTCCACTACAATAGTATAACTGGAACTCTTCTCCTCATTATGGACATGTTAGGACATGCTCCACACCAGCAGAAGCCAGCCCACACACATACACATAAACACACCACACACAAACAGACCTCAGTGAGTGTCTGGTCAGAGAGCAGCTCCTGGGCCTTGCTGTGGAGTCTGCGACTGGTCTCCTCCTGAGATATCTGGTCTGTGGCACCGGCCAGCTCTGGCTGCGGTACCTTCACTACCACCGGGTCTGCAGGGGTCACAGGTCAAGGCTTATCGTGTGTAGGAGAGAGGGAGGTGAGACCTTGTTCGATGGGCTTCTCGTGAGTGGGGGAGGAAATGGAGTGAGAACGAGAGCTCGCCTTGGGGACGGGGCCTCTCAATAAAATCTTCAGTGTTGGATCTCAGGATATGGGGAGGTCTGGAGTGGGGTATTCCACTACCGTGCCCTGGAGTACTGGAGACGGAATAACATCATAAACTGGAGTGGAGTGGAGTATGGTGGGGTGTGATTACCTCGGGGGAGTCGGGGTAGAGTGGTTGTGGACTGGGGTGGAGTGGGAGGAGTGTGAGGAGTGGGAGGGAGACGCCTGTGGGAAATCTCGGCGAGGGGGAGGGGGCGGAGGATTCCTGGCAGCCACGGTTTCAGAGGGGTTAAACGACGTCAGGTCCGAGAGGAGGGAGTCGAGGTCAAAGTCCTCATCTGGCGGAGGAGGCCGTGGATCTTGACGCTGAGTGGAGAGGGGAAAGAAATGTTTTCACTCAACCTCAGGTTTCTCAGTGTATGCACAGTCGTACCTGTAGCATTGAGTGCTGTGAGGAAAAAGGAAGGTTTAGAATGAATGAGAGAAATCTCAACAAAAAGCAACTAACCCTTTGTCCTTGAGGGGTTGAAGTGTTGGTAAAAGTGGAAACCTTGCTGGGCTGGGGGGTAAGAAAGAGGATACACGACATGTGGCGTTGGTAAAGGAGGGGGCTGGGATTATGGAAATGATTGGCACTGGCACCAACCTAATGGGACAGGAATGCTAACTCCATCCTCCGCCCAGAACGCTAACAACTGCTTCGTACAACTTGTGTATGTGCTGATTCTGAAGTTCAGAAGACATTCCGCGCATAATCCCCTCAGTTGGCAGAGACATGCAGCTTCGCCAGCCCCACTGCTAGTGGTGTTGGCAACCCTCATGGACACAGCCCACACCACAAGCACATGTTTACGCAGTCACCAACATTGTCCCAGGACACACTACCTCACGTGACTTACCACTGTAAAGGCCTCCAGGTCAGCAATGACTGATGTGAGGTCTGTTAGAACACTGTCCAAATCTGCCTCAGAGCCGGCCGCCACCTTGTGCAGAATGCTGCGGCGATGGTTGCCATCAAATACACCGAGAGACTGGAGCCTGGCGTCGTCAAGTGACCTGTGTGCGTGGGGGAAAGTAGTCAGCTCTTCAAACACTTCGCTACAAAGGGCTTTAACAAGCTGAGCTAGCGAGCCCCACACCCGCGACTCGGCGGCACTCGCGGTGCAGTCTTACCCGAGACTCTCCACTGTGGTGTAGCCGCCGCCCTCGATGATGGCGGCGTATTGCTCACAGCCGAGCTCGGCCAACCACGTCCACACGTCACTCATCTCTGTCTTTCTCCGACTGACGTCTTTCTAACTTTCTCACAGCTGTACAAACCTTTCCAAAGGAAACGGCTTCACTTATAAGCCAAACTTCCCTGCGTTCCGAGTAGAGAACAACTTTCCACACACCACACAATCAGTTTTAGCTGGCCGCACCCACTGCACTGATGCAAGTCTCGTTTTTGACGACCGCAAATGTTTTACTGCGCATGCGCAATATTTAGCACGTGTCGATCGCGATATGTCCAAGGACGAACGGAACTTCAGGAATCCGTACGCTCGGCTTCCAGCGTGCCTTCCCTCCTCTAGGGAGAAAGCCAGCCAGCCACCGCAAGTAAGGAACGTGAGCCACCTGTCATATCATCTGCAGCACTTGCTGCAGGTCCCTCCAGAGCTGTCTGTTCGCCTGCTGGCTGCTCTAGAGCAGACTTTGGTAGAGTGTGACTCGGCCTACCGGCACGCGCCCTCTGCTGATACCAGTGTGTACACAGGCACATCAGGCGTGGCTCTGCTGCACCTGCACGTGGCCACCACGTTGCACGCCGAGGACCATAGGAAGAGCAGAGAGCATCTTCTGCAGGCCCAAAGTCTTCTTACGCACTGTCTCTCTCGCGTGCCTTCTCACAGCATCACCTTTCTCTGTGGAGCAGGAGGACCTCTTGCCATTGCTGCAGTGGTGGAGGCTGGACTGGGCAATACTGACAAGGCGAAGGTAGAGGAAAGAGAGGGAAATGAAACACCCATTCTTCTCTGCTGCTTCCTCACAGAGTCTATTGCAGCAGCTGAAAGAACTCTACACAAGCAACAAGTCAAGATTTTCCCAGCTGCCCAGTGAACTGCTGTATGGCCACGTGGGATACCTCTACTGTCTCCTGTTTATCAATGCCTATCTCCCAGGAGCTGTTAGCCAGAGCCTACTGCAGGAGGTTCGGAGTCATTGTGTGAGATGTTAGGGAGTGTTTCTCGTTGTTCAGGTGGCTAGGGTTGCCGTAGAGGCAGGGGAGAAAGGAAGACAGGCGTCTGTTCCTTCTCCACTGATGTACACCTGGCACGGGAGACACTACCTTGGTGCAGCTCATGGTCTGGCTGGAATCGCCACTCTTCTTCTACAGGTACCCTTTTTCTCTCAGCATCTTTTCAACGCCACCTTTTAAAAAATGTTTGTTTATGGATCCTGAATTGGTATTTCTGAAACACTCACTCTGCAGTTAAAAACTGAGCAACTCCCAAGCCCCCTTGCCCCTACAATTAACTACTTGACGAGCCTCCAGTTACCTTCAGGGAATTTCCCCTCCTCACTCGAGAGTTGCCATGACAGCAGTCATCATAGTGACAGACTAATACATTGGTGTCATGGAGCTCCTGGTTTTATCCACCTCTTGAGTCATGCGTACCAGGTTAGCCACACCCACCTATAATTTGATGAGTCATTTGCGAATAATTATTGGACAACTTTATTACCATTGATGTATTGTGGTCCTTAGCATGGTGACAGTTCTAACCCCTGACTATAGATGTTGGGTGAAGGTAGGTATCTGAAGGCGGGGGAGATGTGTGGGGAAGTGGTGTGGAAGAGAGGTCTCCTGAGGAAAGGCTACAGTCTGTGCCACGGAGCAGCCGGAAATGCATACACTTTCATCCAGCTGTACCACCTCACTGGACACACCCACCACTGGCACAGGGCTCTCAAGGTATATAGGTCTGACCTGGTCATGTGACATTCCTGGTGGATCATGTGATCTCTGTATAGTTTGCAGAATGGTGTCTCTCTTGCTCGGAGCGAGTAACACGAACTCCAGATGCTCCCCTCTCCCTGTTTGAAGGATCAGCGGGTGTGGCTTTCTTTTACTGTGACATAATTATGTCATCAAGAGGGAAAACCCCTTTTCCTTGTCTGGAGATCCCACAGCCAAAGATCACTTTCACCTGCTCATGATGAACAACAAAAAGTGTTATATAAACAAGGAATGTGTTTACTGAACTGGTCATGAATACACGTGAGAACTGATTTGTCTTTCGTCAATCGTAGATCAGTCATGGCAAACCATGATACAACACATGCTATGTATATATACACCTGTTTACAAATTGTAGAGTCACTGCAGTCACTATAACATGCTAGTGTATAGGCTAAGAGACCATCTTCTGGAGAGCCTCGGTTGTGAAGGACTTTGGTCTCTCTATTGGCAGACCGAGAGCTCTGTCCCAGACCAGAGACGACAGAACCCCGAGAGCTCGAGACACTCCAAACAACACAGTGTAGAAACCCATTTCGTGCATCCCGTAGTACTGAGAACAGAGAGATAAGGAGAAAGTATATATACCATAGCCAAATTATGACTTTGTAGTAAGATAATCTGCAATTATCAACGCAATAATTATACCTGGAGGAGGCAGCCGCTGTGGGCGTCGACATTAGGCCACGGGTTCTTTGTCTTCCCCTGCTCTAAGAGAATATCTGGAACTATTTCATACAGCTGACTGACAAGCCGGAACAGCGGGTCATTCGGAAGATGTTTCTGAGCAAACAGACGCTGACACACATAGCGAGGATCAGTCTTGCGCAATACAGCATGCCCGTAACCAGGAACAACCTAAGACAGGGAGAAAACAATAGCCACACCCACTGACCACGCCCCTCACCTGCCCATTGTTGAGGGTATTCCAAATAAACTCCTTCAGTTTGTCGTTAGTGACTTCCGACCCCACGTCCTGCTGTAGCTTTTTCAGCCAAACCAACACCTCTTGATTGGCTGAAAATACAATGACATCATCGATAATTGCAAAAGGCTCGGTGTTGATGTATTACCTAGTCCATGGAGAGGGCCGGCGAGACCATTCATGGCAGCAGCGAATGAGAGGTAGGGATCAGAGAGAGCAGAACCCACCAAGTGGCAGGTGTGGGCGCTAACATTGCCGCCTTCGTGGTCCGTGTGGATGGTCAGGTACAGCCTCATCAGCTCTGCCAGGGAGGAGGCGAGGAGACAGTGAGGGAGGAAGACAGACGCAGGGAGTGTACCTACCAGTAAACTGTGGGTCGGAGAAACCCAACATGCTGGCAAAGTTCGCAGACCAATCTTTCTGTGGATCAATAGCTCCGATTTTCCCATCATGGTAACAATTGCGGTAGATGACGGAGGCAAGGGGTGGTAGCTTAGCAATGAGGTCCATCGCATCATCAAACGTGTACTGAAAGAGGTACAATAACTAGAGAGCAGAGAGGGGGGAGGGAGCTAACCTCCCAGTACTTGGTTTTGGGCATTCCCTCAGCGTAGGCTCTGGCAAACTTGCTCTCTAGCTGCATGGCAGAGATGGCAGATGAGAACTGGCTCATTGGGTGGAGGGTGTTGGGGAAGTTGGCCACCATCTGCACCACGTGTTGAGGAAGGTCGGCTCTAGCTGCCCAGTCTGCCGATATTGAGTCCACCTGCAACCAAGAGCTTGTCACTGGCACGCACACACCACAATATTAAAGCCACTATAGCTAAACAAGCTACACAGACACCCCTACCTACCTGACTCTGACTAGGGATCTGCCCGGTGAGCATGAGAAAAAAGATTCCCTCCGGCAGTGGCTCCTCCCCTCCTGGCCCCTTCGGCAGCTGCTCCTGTAGCTCCGGGATACTGTAACCACGGAAACGGATTCCCTGCAGACAAAGGCAGTGATAGTGTGGTTGCCCGGCAACAGTTGACCCCTGACCTCCTCAGGATCCAGTAGTGAAGTCTCTGTGACGAGGCCTCGGATGCCTCTCATTCCTCCATACATCTGAGTGGTCAATGGCGGCATTGTCAACATTACAATGTGTGATGGGCCTGTGGCTAGTTGACACTTCAATTGAATCTCAATGCAAAATATTTTCACAAGAGCCAAATTGTTTCTAGGCATGTATTTAGACACTGGGAACTTACCATATCGACTGTAACCTCTCCCACCACCTTAGATCCATGCTGGCTTCTGAACTCCTTCACTTCAGCCTGTTTTCTGGGCAAGAGGTCTGCTAGAATGGTCTTGAGGTCGCTCTGGTAGCTGCTGTGTTGCCTCGTCTGTAGAGACATTGCCTCACGCACAGCACACATCAGATACCAGGATACGTACCGCGCAGAGAGACAATATCTTGGCCGAACTCCGCGCCTGCAAAAGATTGGTACATTTGAACAGCTGCCCACTCTTTACACAGCCGAAAAGAAAGAAAAGAAAGGGTAGAAAAAGAGGGAAATGCCAACTTGGAGCTCACGCTGCGCAAAGAAGCAGAGAGACGGGAGAAAGGTAGCCTGCTCAACGCCATTCTCTCTCCTTGGTATGCACTACCAGTGGGCGGAGTCTAATGAATGACCTCGTGAACCTTTAAGTTAATTAAACCTTTTCATGCCGCTTTGGAGTTTACTTGCCGTCGATCCTCACCATGAGCTACCAACTGTACAGGAGCATGAGTCTTGGGGAGTCACTGAAAGCGGCGCTTGATGACTTGATAGAGAACCAGCTCATCACTCCAGACCTCGCTGTCAAGGTAAACTGAGGGCCCTCTCGTCTGCAGGGAAGTCTTTTTCCAACTACAGGTCCAGCAACAGTACGACAGGAGTATGAGTGTCGCCCTGTCGACGAAGGTACGAACTCGCTACACGTTCAAAGGTCAGTTGAAGGTTTACCGCTACTGTGACAATGTCTGGACTTGTGTCTTGAGGAATGTGGAATTCAAAGACTCTCACAACAATGAAATAATAAACTCGGAAAAAGTGAAGATTGTGGCATGTGAAGCAAACTCTAGCAGCAAATAATCAGAGCACAAACACTGTCATTTCCCCTTATATGGTCATATTTCATATTTTGATCTTCACTCTCTCGACAGTAATGTATTGGTCTTGTGCCTGGCGAACACGAGGCTTTTTGCCAGCCTCCAGCATGTTTTCCACTGTCGCTAGGTTCTCACAGAACAACATCTGTCACCACGACAGCACTGAAACCATTACATCATAGGTGGGAGTGGCCTGACCTGATGATATGTAGTGTGTTGAAAGTTGTGAAGGAGATGTTTGGCAGAAGGGGAGAGAGAAAGAGCAGGCCAGTGGGTGTCTAGTAACACAGCCAGCCAGTCCAGCAGTCTGGGATATGGCAGTGGAGGGGTGTGGCAGAGAGATGCAACCGACATGTGAGGCGTCAGGAACTGCAGTACAGACTGAGGGCCAGAGGTACATAATGGAGACTTGTACACAGACCCTCTGAATAAAGGGCACCTCTACTCCTCTACCCTACATACATTTTTACTTTCGACGAACATCAAAGTCCCAAAGTGCCCCATACTCCTAGACTATACATGTCTATACCAGAACAGAGGAGAGGGGAAGAAGTGAGAGTGGGGGCTGCAGGAGGGAATCACTGTATGGAAGAACCAGCATCCCCCAGAGAATGGTCTCTCTAGTAAACTGCTCCCCGTAGCTCTCCACACTCTCTGGGAGACTGTCGATAAATATTACATCATGATGACATCATTCGCATGACCCTCACTCCAGTGCATGGTGCAGTAGAGAGACAATAGATGACTCTGGAATTCCCTCCGATTGGTCCATAGTCAGCACCACCAGAGCCTTGTGGGGAGGGGGAAGAGATGATCAGAGAAAGAGACAAGAAAACAGAACTCACCCAGTCGCCTTGTTGCAATGCTCTTTCCACCACCTCCCCTGCCTCGCTGCATGCACTTCAGTCACCTCCACACATGGATATGAGACCCACTCACCTACCAGTCACAGCGTTGGCCTTTACCAGTTCCGTCAGTTGAATATGAGCCCAGAACACCGTTTCCCTGACAAGTCTCCTCACCAGAGGAAGGTAGGAGGGAGAAGGAAGGGAGAGAGAGGAGGGAAACAGTTCAGACACACTCTCCAGAGTGGGGGTCTGCAGGGAGAGTTTGGTTCACACAATTCAAGCTGAGATCCAGCCAACATTAGCTGACCTGCCCACGATCACAAAGCTTTGACAGGACCTCCATTTCCTCTGAATCGCCGACTTGTGATCTCCAGCAGATGCCGGTCTGAGTCTCTGCCCACTTCGAAGACACTGCTTTGGCTTCAGGAGGGGGTGTGGTTTTCCGGCCGAGCACGGCAGCAAGTGAGACACAGTCCCCAGAGCACATTCTACACACCCTCACACCACCTTCTCCACTCATCACAACATGACCCCCCCACACACTGCACAACTGGACAACAAAAGTAAAACTTGCTACAATTTTTTATAGTATATACATGGAACTAAACTTTGTCAGTGAGGCCCACTTGTTACCATTTTAACGTGGCTAAGTCTGGAGTTCACTTCCTCCTGACAAGTTCCATATAAGGAGTCCCTCAGAGTGACCACACCCCCTTCGTTAGTGGCCACAAACAGACTTGGGGAGACGGCAGCCAACTGGTGACAATACGAGGGTGTCACAAGATACGTGGAGGAAGAAGAGAGGTTGAGAGCAGAAATCCCTCCTTCGGCTGGTGTGAAACAATAGGTACATACAAACCAGAAAAGCATAGAGAACAAAGCTAACCTTTCATCAAAAGAATCTCTCCACACACACAAACTGAAGGCTGAAAGATCTGAGGAAACTGTGACAAATAACAACTTGGCATCAGATGATTGCATGGAACCTTTGTCCTCAAGTCGATACGTGAGGTAAGAGAAAGACCAGACACTTCCACTGCATAGACAAACACTTCTCCACCTTCACACATCACCACTGCACTCTCCCTATTTCCCACCTCACTCATCACACCCATCACAACACTGGAGACAGAGAATTAGTCACGGATAACACACGTAGGGTTAAGACTGGACACACACCGTGGTTTTCTCCCTCTCAATTTCCTTCCTTCCTCACCCAAAACCTTTACCTCCCCGCCTTCCACTGACACCATGTGTACTGAGCCAGACAACTCCACCGTGATAAGTTGGTGAGGGAGGGAGGGTGTGAGGATGGTGAGAGGGGTGAAGGGGAGAGTGAGGTGAGTAAGTGGTAATGTACTCTCCTCTGAGGTCCACAAAAGAAGTTCCTGAGGTATCAGCCATACTCACTAACCGTCTAAGAGACACACAGACCTCACGTCTTTGTTCCTGACAGCACAGTACACTCCCATTGCTCTGTGGAAGACGGGGTAGCACGTGAGCTGCTGAGAACTACCCAGAGACCAGCTGTGCACGCAGCGGTTGTCGTGCAACTGAAGAACGACAATGGATGAGTTACTGAGCGGAAAAACGGCTATTTGCCTCACGTTGTAAACCTCCACGGCTAGAGGAAACGTTAGAAGAGCTTCTCCCTCATTCTCCCCCTCCTCTACAGCCAGACACTCACTGCTCACATGCAGTACTGTGGCAGAACGCAGGTCCGCCATTACACACGTAACACGTGGGTGGGCCTTATTTAGAAAGGGTGCGCATCAATTGGGAAATCTGCACGGAGCGGTCGTGGCAATGGAGTGTCCTCCCTCATTCGGAGTAGGGGCCGACAGCATGAGCACGGATGGAGATGAGTCGCGTGCTTCTTGGGCTCAGGTGGACCCACACGGTGAGTATCTCAGCGACTAAGGGGATAGAGAAAGAGCACGTGGCTTCACCTCAGAGTCAGAAAGTCTCCACAGCGAGCTGGAGAGCCTGGACCCGCTGAAAAGAGAGCTTCTGGAGGCTCGCATCATGAGGAAGGTGTGCCCCTACCAATTACCCTCAAATGTGGTGTGAGACAGTGTGCACAGGTCGGCTCCCCAGACTCCAACCTCAGCAGTGCATCCACCAAGGAAGAGGTGTGGTAGTATCTCGTGATTCAAGCCGATAGTCACGTGTTTATCACGTGACCAGGGTAGAGGTAGCAGTATCAGGAAGAGGAGCACATCTGAGGTGGAGGGAGGGAAGTCCAGCAAGGTGGCGAGGGTAGATGCCTCGCGTAAGATCAGTGAGTTCTTCAGAAACAGTCACAGCACATCTGACAAGAAGAAGGAGATGGGTGTTCAGGTTAGTGCCTCAATTCTAATGAGTTTTAGCCCTAATGAGTAGTGTTGTGTTAGATACTGAACCCAAGTCTCTCAAACATAGCAGTGGATCCTCCTTTTTGCGTGTTGAAACATCATATCAAAGACACGTGTTTCAAACCTAACCCCCCTCCCTCTCTTACTCTTCCCTCAGACAGAGCTGAGAGCCGCAGATGTGACGACACGACAGTCAGAGCAGCAGCTCTCGTCTCTCCAGACAACCGTCTCTGAGCTGCGTTCCTCGCTCACTGCCTGCCAGGCAAACCTTGACCTCTCCACTTCCAGACTGGACAAGGTTTGAATTGCAATATACTCTTGTTGCCAAGGTAGTGAGCTCCACCCACAGTGTGCGACTTTTGTCAGAGAGTTGCTGATTAAAAAGGTGAGTGTGGCTTGTGGGTGTGGCCAACTGCTGACATCCCTCCTGGTGTTCAGTGTACAGCCGAGCGTGCAGAGCAGAGAGAGAGAGTGGCAAAGAACCAACATCGATTAGGACACTTCCAGATGCAGCGGTATGCATACTAACTCGCCCTCCCTTATGTCATGTGACAGTCACCTGACCCGAGCAGACAAGGAGCTCAGTTTGCGGAGGTGTGGGTGGAGGGTTTAAGGTACAAGGAGCTGATGGAGGGGCAGGAGAAGCTGAGCCACCAGAGAGAGGAGCTGGAGAGACAGAGGAAGGCTCTCAGCAAGCGAAGACCTCCGTCGGGAGGAACGGCGACTAGTGGGAGGAGCCAGAGTCCAGCTCAGCCTAGCAAATCCGGATTTGTCAAGCCACAAGTGGCCTGGTCAGTGCAACCAATCTGGGGTGTATTCTATTGAGTTATGTGGGGATAGTTCAGTTGCCATTTGAAATGCAGCTGTATCTCTTAAAATGACTGCAGCCTGAGTCCGGAGGAATACCAGGAGAAAGAAGAGCTGCTTAAACTGAGGCAGAGTTCTCTGAAGAAGGTTAGGGGGTGTGGCAGTGGGTGTGGCTATCTAGTATAATTGTCTGGAGTGCAGGAAGAGCAGCAGCTGCAAGTAGAGGTCGAGGTGTTGGAGAGAGAGAGGAACCTGCACATCAGAGAGATGAAGAGAGTAGCTGCAGAAGATGCCTCACGGTTTTCCTCCAACCCAACTCTTGCCTCTCGCTACCTCTTGCTGCAGCTGGTTGGTAAAGGTGGCTTCTCCGAGGTGTTCAAGGTGGGTGTGGCTTATGGGCGTGGTCCCACATGTATATTATATACATTCAGGCATATGATGTGAAGGAACAAAGGTACGTGGCTTGCAAGATCCATCAGCTCAGCTCTGACTGGAAAGAAGAAAAGAAGGCCAACTATATCAAGTTAGGATTTGTCTTACACAACGTGTGGTGCTGCTGAACTGGTTCTCTCTGCAGACACGCTCTGAGAGAATACAACATACACAAGACCCTCAACCACCCGGTAAGCTGGCCACAACGTTTAACTCTCCCTCACTCCTTCCTCTCCCTCACTCCTTCCTCTCCTCAGAACATTGTCACTCTGTATGATGTCTTTGAAATTGACACCAATTCGTGAGTTCCAAGCTTTGTTTCATGTCGGGATTTGTGTGTTGTGGTGTGTAGATTTTGTACAGTTTTGGAGTATGTTGATGGCAATGACTTGGATTTTGTTCTGAAGCAGCAGAAGAGTCTCCCTGAAAGAGAGGTAATATTCGACAGGAGGGCACACAAAGTTGTGTCACAATCTTTCTCTAGGCCCGTGTGGTAGTTCTGCAGACAATGCGTGCTCTCAAATACCTGAATGAAATCAAACCTCCTGTCATACACTTTGACCTGAAACCAGGTGAGTGTTCATCAGTCATGTGACATGTCACCTGAGCATCATGTGATTTCTGTCAGGGAACATTCTGCTAGGCTCGGGGGTTCACAGCTACGAGGCTAAGATCACAGACTTTGGTCTCAGTAAGATAATGGAGGCAGACAGCCTTGGAGGAGAGATGGAGCTCACCTCACAGGGAGCCGGCACCTACTGGTAGTCCAGGATAGCACTGATAGTCATGTGCTGCTCATGTGACCACTGCCACAGGTACCTCCCTCCCGAGTGTTTTGTTCTGGGAAAACAGCCGCCAAAGATCAGCTCTAAAGTTGATGTTTGGTCAGTTGGTGTCATACTCTACCAGAGTATTTATGGGAAAAAGGTAGGCATGGTCGACCCCGCCCACTTCTAGTCATGTGACTCCCCTGCAGCCATTTGGGCACAACTTGTCTCAGGCGAGCATTCTCCAGCAGAACACTATCCTGAATGCCACTCAAGTCGATTTTCCTGCCAAACCAGTTGTCTCTATGGAAGCGAAGGTTCCTCCCCTCATTAGTGAGACTTTCATCATTGTGGGTGTGGCTTCTCTGCACAGGCATTCATCCGGCGTTGCCTTAGCTACCAGAAGGACAGTCGACCTGATGTCATTACTCTCTGTGACGACCCTTACCTCAAGCCTCCATTGCCACGGAAACAGCCAACTTCATCTCAACCACCATCACTTAGCATCTAGCACTAGTTCTGGACTCTTTGGATATTATGTTGCTCAATCTTAATTTTTCATAACAGTATATAGAAAAGTGAACTATGAGCTGAAAGAGCGCTGCCTTACGTATGTCCATGTTCATTAATCATTTTTTTTATAGGCGCAGCTTCAGATTTTTAACCCTCGGCGCGCATGCGCAGCGAGGGTTACTGTAGTTGGGGGGTTTGTAATTGTGTGTCTGTTACTCTCAATCTCAATCTCACTTCTCGAGTGTTTGTTCGTCTAACAAAGGATACGATCTACTTAATGGGCAATGAAGGTCAGAATATTTGTGGGGTTTTCTCTGAAAATGCTCCGTTGCAAGGCTAGAGCGCTTCCAGCATTGTATGGCTAATGCCATTTTATCGCTGGCGGATAATGCGCATGCGCTTATTTTAGCACAGGCTTACCTACCTCGACCGAGTCTGCTTGCTCTGTCTATCTTGAAGGCACAAGAAGTCACAACGAATGGCGTGTATCGACTCCCGCGTGCTATCTACTACTGTAGCTAGCCCGTGTCAGACTCTCTGCGAGCTACTTCGCCGAGGGTTTGCACTTTAATTTACACTGTTCCCATTCAAGTAATGGGAGGTGGTCTGATGGATAAGCACCCCCTCTCTTGATCGTGAGGTCCCTGGTTCGATCCCGGGTGTGTACGCCTTTTTTACAATGATGTAATAGGAGTGTTGGTATATATGGAACGTTTTTTCATTACCTCTCCAGGCCAGCCCGAGTGGCTAGGTGGTTAGAGTCGTGGGGACTGACACCATAGGTGCGGGTTCGTATCCTCGATCCCGCACTAAAATGTCAGATGGTCCAGAGCATTGGCTGGGAACAGCTCTGGTACCTCCCCTTACCCACAAATCTACCACTGACCCATGTTTCTCAAAGGGCAGCGTACAGTTCGGCATAGCACTGCGTCCGTAGACGTCTGTCTGGAGAGATGAAGGGCTGGCCGTTTTTTTCACCTTAGTTTTTTTTTGCACTAAACAATCCACGGGTAATACGAAAATTAATAGAGAGATGAAAGGTTGGCAATTTTTCAACCTTATATATTTTTTGGCCTCAAACAGAAATAGGGCTGGGCATTTTTTTTCAACCCCATGGAAATGGTGCATAACATGCTGTTCTTTTTGATGCATGGTCAAGACCATCAATTGTGGTGGTGCCACACTTGTGTATGGGTTCCACATTTCTATAGAGTGTGCCGAGGGTTTGCACTTTAGTGCTTTTCATTTAAAAGTGAACCAATACACCTGCAAACTATATGAGACTTGCACCTACGTCTTCCTAAATCGCGTGGTTTCCATGACTCGTCGTCTAACTGTTTTAGAGTGTGGCGTGCGAAACTGTCAGGGGTAAAGGAGTGAGTTTTAATACGGCATAATATTCATGTTCGTGGTCACTACACTACATTCACCACTCTGCACTATAAAATGGATCATGCCTGTGTGTATATATCAATGAGTATGACTGAGTCTAGTGACAAACGTCTCTCTATACGCAAGAGGTATCGAAGAGGGTAGTTGAAGCTACCATGTGAAGCCGATTCTCCTCTGAGTGTTGGCAGGAGTGGCTGAAGACTTGGGCTGGTAGCTGGGCAGCTCTACAGCAGTGGAGTCTGTGGCCTGTAGTAATGTAACTGCTGAGTCCTGGGCTATATAGCACACACCGAGACTGAGACCTTGTAACTAGGCTGCAGACCAGTAACTGCGGGGCCGCTGCCTCCTCCAGCTCCTAACATGGCTGACTTCTCCAGTACTTGAGTGTTTCCTCCTCGAGCCCTGGCCTCTGATATCACAACATCAGCATAGTCTCTAAACTGCCTCTGCTCCAACTGAGGAATCATCAGCTGAAAAAGCAGCTGCAGGACGAGATCAATGTACCTCCAGTAGTTGTTGGTTTCGGTTGCTCAGTTCCTGCTCCTTTTTCATTTCCGTCATCTTCTTGGTATCTCTCTGAGCCACTTGACCATGCAGAAACACCTGCAGTCCCCTGGCATCCAGGAAGGCTTGTTTGGCCATCTCTTGCTGGGCCTGGTGGAACTGTGGGACACAGCACCACTCAACACACTCACGGAAACAGAAAACACATTGTCACCTGCAAATCATGGTCTCTTCTCTGCTGTAACATCTCAATGTTGGTTTCTCCTTCTTCTTCTTCCTTCCTTTCTTTCTCAGCCGTCATTTCTACACGGTGCCTCTGAATATCTTGAGTACGCTCCATCAACAGACATTGCTCTTCTTCTTCAGCTTTCTGTGGAATTTATTAGTATGCACAGATGAGTGGCCATATGTATGAAGTGTATTATACCTCTTTCTTAGCGTACTGCTCTTGCATAGCTCTAGCAATCATATCATCCTCTGTGTTCCTCTCTTCCAGCCTCTGGCTCTGCAGAAGGTCAGCCATCTTGTCTTGCTGGCTCTGGAATTGCTGGAAAATTTCTCTCTCTTTCTCTTTCCTCAGACGAGTCATCCTCTGTGAGATAGACACAAGGGTAGATGCTCACAAAAGACACTACAGTACTTGTGCAATGCAGCTTGCCTAGCACCCCCTCCCTTTACTATCTCCACTACCTTCTTGGCGTCAAGGAAGAGTTGGATGCCCGAGGTCTCAGCCTTCTCCTGCTGCTGTCTCTTAGCCTGTTGCCTGGCTTGTTCTGCCGTGACCAGGTCCAGTGCAGACCTCAACTTTGCCTGCTCCTCCTTCTTTTTCAACACAGCTTCTGCGTCTGCCTTGACAAACTGTTCCTGGTGCATGTGTAAAAAGTAGGCCATTATGATTAGGACCAACAACTCACCATTTCCTTGTCAATTCTCTTCTGCTCTGCTAAAGCTTCTTCTCTTTCCTTCTCTCTCTGCTTCTTTTTCTCAGCAATCCTGTTAAGTATAGTTTTTTTAAACGCTACACTCATTATAATATGCTTACTGTATAGCATTGAACTTGGCCGTCTCAACTCGGGTCCTGCCCCTCTCTACAGCTGCCTCGTGATCAGCTGCAATACCCCTCTCCCTCTCCTACCTCACTGCCATGAAGTTACATGAACAGACACCGAGTAGACAGCTCACCTCTTGCTGAATGTCAATGTATGTCTGGTCCACTGTCTTTGCAACCTCCTCCTTCTTCTTCTTGTACTCCAGCTGTGCGTCTCTCTCTCTCATCACCTCACTCAGCAGCAGGGCTCTCTGCACAGAACACCTCATGGACCAACCCACACTCTGGTGCTGACCTCAACTCACGTGAAATGTCTTGACTCGATCAGTCTGATGGTAGAGCAATGTCTTTGCTCTCTCAATGGCCTCCCTACGACACTGTGCTTGAAACTCCATCTCCTGACGCTCAATTTCTTTTTTCCTTTCCTCCTCTTCCTCCTCTCTAAGTTTCTTGGCTTGCAATTTCTTTAGTCTCTGACCCTGTGTTACAAACAGAGCTGTAGAGTTGCCAGGAGAAAAGGTTGTCTCACCTCAATTGTGTTCTCCCAGTGCTTCACAATATTTTGTGACTGGAGTCTGCGGTTCTCCCTGCACTCTCTCGCCTTACATAGCTCCTCCTTCTCCCGCTGCCGACGGTCCAGACTGTCCTTGATACGCTGCCACTCGGACACGGGGACAACAGCCACCTATGCAACATCATCGGCTGCAAATCGTGTGACGGGCCGCAAACGACCTACCTGTCCGTCATTGTCAGTCGCTGTGTGAATGATAGATGGTGCAGCTTAGTGGATATTATACCTTCGAGCACTTTTCTCTCTTACCTGGAGACCGAACAGCGGCGCCTCTCCTCCGGCCGAACTGCACGTCCGAAGTCGCCATTCAGTGTTTGGTGGTTGTCATAACAACAGCCTTGAGAAACACGTGCGAAGAACGTGCACGCGCACGATCGATGGCGGAAGGCAGGAAGCTGTTTGTGTTTGATTTCGACTATACTCTCGTGAACGACAACGCGGACACTTGGGTAGGAGGAACTGTGGGCGGCGGAGCCGTGGAGAAAGTGAAGGCCGAGATGAGCAAGTGGTACCACGACTGGAGAGATTTTGTCAACAAAGTACTTCTCCAGCTGCACCGAGAGGGAGCCTCACGTGACGATATTGTAGGTCACATGAGAAAGTGAGTTGTGACATGTCGACAGTATAGGTGATGGTGTAAATGGGGAGGTGCTGTGTGTGCAGGCTGAAGATTCACAGAGAAGCAATGAAGGCTCTCCAGGCTGTGCGGGCAGCCCCTGATGCTGATGCCATCATTATCTCTGATGCTAATTCAGTGTTTATCAACACAATTCTCCAGCATTGTGGAGTGGCTGATGTGTTTAGTGCAGTGCTCACCAACCCGGCCTCCTTCAACAACGAAGGGTTGATGACGGTTGCTTGGCATCATACCCATACCTGCCAACTTTGTGCTGCAACTCCCAACATGTGCAAAGGTGCACTCTCCTATACGTCGTATTTTGTGGGGCCACGTATAATTATACTAACTCCCCTGCAGGTACCATTCTCAGAGAATTCCTCAAGAATTCTGCTCACCTCTACACTCAAGTAGTGTATACAGGTGACGGACAAAACGACCTTTGTGCTCTTCTGCAACTGAGAGATACGGATGTGGGTGTGGTCAGAAAAGGCCATGGCCTTGAAAAAGCTTTAGCAAAAGGAACCCATGATGTAAAGGCTTCAGTACAAATAGTTGACTTTTTACAAGACCTATGCAGTGTTATCACATCTTATTGTTAGTTGTCATGACATTGTGCAATATGTTTTTTGCATTGTTTTCTGAAGGCCTTGCAGAATGCAGTGATACCACCTTCCTTACTGTTCAATGTTTGCATCAGACCTTCAACCCCATGTACGTGGGGGTCTAGATTCACAACTGTGTGGGGGACAGGCAAATATCAAACGAGGTGTTGTGAATGAGACAATACCTTCCCAGTCGCCAGTCTCAGAGATATCAAGAACCACTCTGAACTGTTGGTCGCACTGCTGGGGATCTATCTGACTGAACACGAGGCTGATGAGCCTGTCTGCAGCCACACATACACAACACCAACAATGAGCATTGAACAGCTACCTTCACTCAGTCTGATGTCGAGGCCCAGCGTACGGCGGAATAGTGCCCTATCGAAGGTAGCATCATAACTCTGTGGAACAAAGAGTTCTGTCTCTCTCTTTGTGGCAGCCTCAAGAGCTCCTCTATTCCGCTGCAGCTTTCCCAGCACTGCAGACAAGACTGATAGTTGATGAATACAAATTAGTCCACCTCACTTGACTCCAAGTATACTTTTTGATGCTCTAATCTCTCCATGTCTCCGCACAGACTTTCAACCTCTACTGAAATATCAGCTATGACGGAGAGTCAGTAGCTACACAGACAGAACAGACCTTTGTCTCGTCGATTCTTTTCGTACCTCCGCCGCAGGCCTTGAAGGAACTCCAAACGTCGAGTATGCTCTTTCTCTAAACCTGAAGCCAACGCACGGTTCCCCGAGCAGTCCATGGCTGCTAGTTTGCTCAACAAAGCTGCACAGCTAGCTAGCTAGCTATACACAAGTGTAGACGCGGGCCGGGCGAGCTCGAACTCCCGCCAAAATTTGCATGCGCGCGCCGCCGAAGCGCGGCAAATTTGATCCCGCGGCTGCGCTGGCAGATCGACGTGGGCATGTACGAGAAGATGATGGATATTGTAACATCAGATTGGATATGGCTTCCAGGCGGCGCCCACTGGAGCGACGTGCAGCGCGGTGACATCTGGTACTTGCATACGGTGCCTTGGCTGGTTTTGCTCCTTTTGCTAGTGCGAAATTTCTCCTGGTAAGTATACGTTTGATGATGCAGCAGCTGCAAGGGCAATCGACCCATTCCCTTTCGTGTGCAGTTTTTTTGCAGGCGCAGTAGGCAGTTGCCTAGGAGTGAGCGGAAGAATTTGCACTCGGCCACCGAGCAATGCAGTGCTGGAGGCAGCATTCTCTCTCAGAAGACGGCTGTCAATTAGAGAAGAGGAGGCCCTTGCACGAGACGTTGGCTGGCTGCCACACCGAGTGAGACAGTGGTTCCACAGAGCAAGGAACTGGAAGAAACCCTCCACTCTTACCAAGTTTAAGGAGAGCAGGTGAAACGAGTGAATTTGACATGAATTATACTTTGTACTATAATGGATAGCTGGCACTTGATGGTTTACACTACTTCCACTGCCTATGGACTATTGGTTTTGGTGAATGTGAGTCTCAGCGGGTTTGTTGATAAGTTGTCTGAAGAACTTGATTTGCAGGAGCCTTACTTCCTAAACCTCTCCCAGTGCTACTCCGGCTATCCCTCTAAGGTAATGCTGGTGGCAACTGAAAAACATTTGCTCTTAGTCCTGTTGCCTTAGGCTCCGCCTCAGCCTGTTATGGGCTACTGGTGTCTTCAAGTGTCTCTCTACATGTCTGAGCTGGTCTCTTGTCTAGTTGGTACCATGCCCAGGAAGAAGGAAAGATTCGTGTGTTTAATGTTTTGATGTGAGTACCAAATGTATGTGTGCAAACAGGACTTTTTAGCTCTGATGGTGCATCACTGCTTCACACTGGCTTTGCTGTTCATCTGCTATGCTGTCAATATGGTCCCCATTGGACTGGTGATTGCTGTACTTCATGATGTGGCTGATGTGTTCCTGGAGGCAAGTTTGCTATAATATAGTAATTACTATCAACTTCTATAAACCCCCCTCTATAATATATATAGACAGCAAAGCTTCTTGTGTACGTCGGGCGTCATGTCATGGCTAATGCCATATTCTCTGTCTTTGCTCTGGTCTTCATAAGTACTAGACTGGTGCTGCTACCAAACTGGTCAGTTATTTGGAGCATAAACTGCAAACAACACGAGAAGTCCCTCACAGGGTTTTGCCAAGTCTGATGTACGACCTTCCTCACTACGCTGGCCACCACTCCTACATTACTAGGACAGCTATTCTATTTATCATTGGACTTCTAGTAAGTCTAACCATTATGAAGGAAAATGCATGGTTGGTAATGTTGTTTATAGGGACTGCATGTCTACTGGCTGAGTCTAATTGTGAAGGTGGCAGTCCAGATCTTTTCCAAACCCGACTACAAGGACAGTCGCAGTGATTCTGAACACTCTGACAGTGACTCATAACTCCACCTCATCATAATATTATTATTATAATGACAGCAAAAAAGAGCACAATTGCTAGAATGGTCGGAATCTTCTCTGTGTCCGAAGTTGCGCAACTCTCTCCTTGTCCTTCAGAAATTTTCTGCGTAACTCTGCCACAGCCTCTCGCTTGCTCTCTCGTTGTTGGAACAGGTAAAAGTTAGTCAATTTCTTTTCCTTTTTCTTTTTGCGTGGGTTCTGGGGTCCATTCTATTGGGGGGAGAGACTACTATCAACATCACCAAATTTCACATGCGTACAGACTGTGGTCTCCTTGAAGTGACAGTCACCCACCCATCACTGTCAGGTTGGGAGAGCCGCTTTCTCGCTTTCGGTTGATAAGCTGCACAATTGTCATACTGCCCTGCATAATTGTGAAGTCGAAAACTCCAACGATTTGCAACCCATCTTACATTATATAAACAACATTTTCTTCAAACCGAAATGTGGTGTCAGAAAGTGAGGTGGATTCAAAACCTACCTACAACCAGATTAGCTGCGGTATCAAGAGCAGTTGAGTTTAGCCGTCTACTAGCATAGTCCTCACACCATTTCCTCACACCAGTTGTTCCAATGTCACACCTCACTGCCTCCCCACCACCACACAGTCCCAGAGCACGGTCCAGTTCCTCTGGCTGAGAGAATACCACGTACGCAACTCTCCCTCCCTGCCCACCACCTTCAGCATCAGCCTGCACATAATACCATAACGAGACTCTGCATGTGCTACTAGGGAAGACCTACCTTCTTCACCAACTGCCCAGCATTCTCCTGCAGGAATGTGCCAGATACATAGCCTGCCCTTGAAAATACCGCTTCTACTTGGTTTCCCGAGCAATAAGGAGGCCACCCTAGTGAGAATAGCGTCCTATCTGAAGGTGTGGTTGGGTCTTCCCGCCTGGGATATTGTGTAGTACTTACGACACCGTCATAACGACACCTCAGTCAAGGCTTTTACCTTACGGTGTGCTTTTTGCAGAATATGGTATGGGTCGAAACTATCTCGTTGTCCGTAGTAGAGCCGAAAAAGTCCACCTGCAGGCTCAAGAACTCCATCTCCCCCCAGCTAACAGCATAATTATATTGCGAGGCACAACGTATGCGTGCGCGTGGGTGTGCGTGGGTGGGTGTGGTCGTTGGGTGCGCGTGACGGTCACGTGACCATGTTGCCAAGTCAGCAATTCTTAGTAGTGCAGTTCCTGAAAGATGGCCAAGAAGAGCGATCGAACAGGAGAGCAGTTGCCTGTACACAAGGTGATAATGGTTGGCAGTGGAGGTGTAGGAAAGAGCGCACTCACGCTGCAGTTCATGTACGAAGAGGTATGTCCGTTTTCTGTCGTAACTTCTTCACATGATAATCGCCTGTTTTTTCACAGTTCGTGGAGGATTACGAGCCCACAAAGGCTGACAGCTATCGAAAGAAGGTGTCTCTGAACGGCAGGGAATGCCAGATCGACATCCTGGACACGGCGGGCCAGGAAGACTATGTCGTCGTGCGGGACAACTACTTCAGGTCCGGGGAAGGATTTCTCTGTGTGTTTTCTCTGGTGGACCGAGAGACGTTTGCCGCAGCCAGTGATTTCCGTGACCAGATTTTACGAGTGAAGGTGGACGACCATATTCCTATCATCTTGGTGGGCAACAAGCTGGACCTGGCGGAGGAGAGTCGGGAGGTGACTGAAGAAGAGGTGGCTGCAATGGCAGCTCAGTGGGGTGTCCCGTACGTAGAGACATCTGCCAAGACCAAAGTCAATGTGGATAAGGTGTACTATGACCTTTTGTCGAAAGTGGCTGAGCGGAAGACACTGCCGGCAGAGGCTCCGTCGTCTGGTGGGGACGGAGACACCAAATGTTCATGTGTACTGCTGTGACCATCTCAATATCTCCTAATCATGTTGTATAAATGTGTATGTGTTTTGTGTAGAGATGATAGAAAATGCAGGTATTGTTTACCGATAATAATGCATTTTAGCATGCGCGTGATATAGATATAGCAGTCAGTATCCGGTAAAACCCTACGCCTCCTGTATATTATACTTACCGGGCCGGTTGAGGCGAGGGTTGAGGTTCCCAGGCGAGGACTAACTGGAGATGGCTCCGACCGCTAGAGACCTGTGAGGCAATACAATAGGAGTGGCAGTTGGTCAGTGCTGGCTCTTTTTACAGGTCTCGAGGTAGAATGAAGAATGTTCGGATTTACGAGGCGAAAGTCTCTCTCACTGAGTGAGCAGAACCGTAGCTGGATAGGCAGGGATTTACCTCCGACCCCTCAGGCACTTGGTGCAGAGTGATCCGCAGTTTCAGGCCGTGTATGATGCCGTGCTGGTCCAGGGAGTGATCTTTGTCATTTACGTTCTCGTCCACGACTTTTGGATCGCCGGCAGGTATCTATATACCTGGTGCTTGTTCATTTACTGCACAGACTACCTCAGTCCCAGCATTGGTCTCAATCAGCTGGCGTTGGTTGTGGGAACTGGTTCAACTTTTTTCTACTTTCTCTGCCTCGAGGCTTACCTCCTTCTTTGTGCTGTTGCTGTCTACCCTGTCTTTTTGGTGAGTGTATAATGTACAGCAGAGTATGTTTGGTTTCAGTTTCCTCTCTGCCAGTCGTGGGTGTGGTGCCACAAGCATGGACCTCCTCTGCTGGTGGGACTCTTCTATCTAGTTGTCTGTGCTTCACACGTGGTGCTGTCGAGTGTGATAGTATCTTGGACCGTCTTTGCTGCTCCACTCGCTAATTTGACAGCACTCATTGCTGGTATAGAGCAGGTATTGCCCATGTTTCCTTGCCCAGTATAAGTGTTTCCCTTCCTCTGACTAGATTCGTCTTCTAATGAAATCCTACTCCTTCATCCGAGAGAATGCGTACAAGGTTCTGTATCCTTGGCACAAAGATGACAAGGAGGGACCAGCTGTATGGTATGGAGGTCAGATGGAGCCACAGGTTGGCTCATTCTCTGCCTACCTCTACTTCCTCTTCTGTCCAACTCTCCTCTACCGAGACAGATATCCTCGGTGAGAATTGAATATTAGCATTGGTATATTATATGCACATGTACTTCTTTGTCTGCAGAGTAACTGGGCCCATCAACTGGACTAATGCCGCTGGTTACTTCGTACATGTAGGCCATTGAAACTATGCGATGCGATGCGATGTTTATGAAACTCTTCTATAGTTTCTCACCACAATCTGGTATATGGTGGTCCTCTTTCGATACTTTCTATTTCCTGCCTCTTTCAAGTGAGCCCCCCCCCCTCGTTGGTTGTGGCAATGTAGGATCTCCCACCCAAATGCAGGAATGAAGATCTAGTCAAGTGCTATATCAGTGCACTGCTGTTGGCCTTCCTCCTGCTTGTCATCATCCACATGTGTGTGTTTCATGCCTTTGCCAACCTGGCCTCAGAGATCACCCGTTTTGCTGACAGGCAATTCTATAATGTCAGCCTCTCTTTTTGCAGTCATGATTTTACCTCACTTTGTGACAATCCTTCAGGACTGGTGGGCCAGCACCTCGTTTTCCTCCTATTATCGCAAGTGGAACACAATAGTTCACGACTGGATCTACTCATATCTATTCCTTGACTTGTGTGCCATCTCCTCCTCCAAGTTTCCAGCGATTCTCTCCACTCTCTTTCTCTCTGCATTGATGCACGAGTATCTACTGGCTATGGCCCTTGGTTTTGCCTCTCCATTCCTTATGATTGAGTTTGCTGGCCTTGGAGGTATGACCAACAATAGCAGGTTTTGTTTAATGATGATAGCTATCGTTTTTGCAGCTATATTTTATTTCATGAGAACATTTGCATCACGGCGTGTTGCAAACTTGATCGTGCTGGGTTGCCTTAGCTTGGGCATGGCAAACCTCATCTTTTACTACACAGCAGAGATAGCTGCAAGAACCTACTGCCCCAGACAGGTGAGTCGTGCGTTCATAGTAAGTGTTTACTCTTTTCTCACTGGACAGTTCACATTGAGGGAGTTCTTTGTACCAAGAATGTTTGAATGCTACATGGAACACAATTCAACCTAGCCCTTGTAGCAAGATATCATTGTGTCATATACTACACACTGCAGCCTCATCTTCAGTCATTAGTCGTATTCCAGCATTTTTCATGGCATGCCATGCCGCGCGCGATCAGCGAATGCGCATGCGCGTAGGAAGACACAGTGCGCGTGCGCACGACGACGCGTCTGCGTAGAGAGGCACTGTGGTAGAAAAGATGGGCAAGAGAAGCAAGGCTAGGCAAACGACGAAAGACCAGGTTGAGGTAAGTATATATCTGTTATGGCACAAGCAATGGGTTGGCTCTGCCCCTGGACAGAACCGTCTTGAGCGGACCGGAAGAAAGGAAAATGACGAAAACGCCACAGACCAAGAACCTAGCGGAAAATACGAGGCTGAAGGAAATAGTGGCTCTTGCAACTCCGTTTCCAAAACTGTTGTGGATAGCTATGTGAAGTAAGCAAAGTGGCTGCTTTTTTTCTAGTCTACCTGCTTCCCATAGGAAAGGAACTTCCAAGAGAATCTTCAGAGCGAAGGAGTCAGTTCTCACGTAAGCAGAGCTGCATGTGCCACAAATTGCCTATTACTAGCTGCTGACTTTCATTTGACAGGTATCTCTGTAGTACAGACAAAAATGTTGAGGCTTTCTACCATGTGTTCATGGTCATGATCTGCACTGCCATCGTTTATTCTCTTGTGAAAGACAGTGTCGAAGCTGGCAAGTAAGTGAAGTGTTTTGGAGACTTCTGGAAGCTGTATGTTTTTTGACAGGCCGTTTGTAGATATGGGGTACTACATATCTGGCTTTGGGCCAGTGGATCAGCAGTTGAGGGCAGCAGTTATATGGCTTCCACTAAAGGCTGCAGTTCTGAGCGTCTACCCATTCTTTCTAGTCTGGAAGAGTCTGTGGTTCAAACTTGGACCCCTCGCCAACCTTCTGTTTGCACTTCTCTTCCTCTTGTACAATGTCGCAGCTCATACTGCAACAATATACAGCATCACTCACTTTGACCTTCCACCAGTCCCTGCGCTTTTCCTCTCAGTCGAGCAACTGCGCTGGACAATGAAATCCTACTCCTTCATCCGAGAGAATGCATACAAGGTTCTGTATCCTTGGCACAAAGATGACAAGGAGGGACCAGCTGTATGGTATGGAGGTCAGATGGAGCCACAGGTTGGCTCATTCTCTGCCTACCTCTACTTCCTCTTCTGTCCAACTCTCCTCTACAGAGACAGATATCCTCAGTGAGTGCCTGCCTACTATTGACTGTAGACACTTTTTTTTCTCCTACAGGACAGCTTGTGTGAGGCCACTGCGAGTGCTGGCTCACCTCATGAAGGTCAGTGGGTGATGATCTATTTCATCCAGTGCCGATTGCGACTGCCTCTCTCCCTGACAGTGCTGCATCTCCCTCACATTTGTGGTGGTTCTCTGCAAGGAAATCTTTGATAGCTACCCTGCAATGTGTGTTCCAAGGAGTATGATTTTGCAGAGGTTTATATTTTCCTTACAGAACAAACTCCCAGCCTAAAAACTTCACGATGCAGACGTTTATGCTCACTCTCCTGACGTGTTCGCTGTGGGGACTGGTGGTCCAGTTCATGGCTGGCTATTTCTTCCTCCACTCCTGGCTCAACCTGTGGGGAGAACTGCTCAAGTTTGCCGACCGCGAGTTCTACTCTGTTAGCTCACTCTGTGTACTGTGGGAATTCCCTAAGACTCCCTGTTGTCTGCAGGACTGGTGGACTTGCACCTCTTTTTCTGCCTTCTATCGGAAGTGGAATCTTCTGGTCCATGACTGGATAAAAGCCTACATCTACCAGGATATGAAAGACGTGAGCTGCATTACTGTGTGCTCAACTCCTCAAATCTCCCGTGTACAGTTGTTTCGCAGACGTTGGTACAATCGTATTGCATCCCTGCCAACAATCATCATATCAGCTGTCTTCCATGAGTATGTGCTGTGGGCTCCAGTCAGGTTTGTGCTGCCACTGCTACTCATCATGTTCGGCCTCTTTGGGGGTAAGGTCACAGTTTCCTGGTTTGCATCAGCTGACCAGCTCCCCCTCCAACACAGGCATCCTTTACTTTGTGCGGCCAAACACGGAATCACACTTTTGGAACTACTTCCTGCACACAGGGCTGCAGCTTGGAGTCAGTGTCATGGTGTTTGTGTATGCCACTGAGTTTTATGCCAGAAAGACATGTGTGATGGAGGAGACTTTACTCAGTACCTTTGTCCCTAGGTTTTATAGTTGCTTCTATGCTCACAATTCTACCTCATAGTTGCATTATTTTTTTTTGTTGGGGGATGCGCTCCACGTCATCAACGACCTGTATAAGCATAGATAGTATAGGTTCCGCTATAATTATTATCTATGGTGTAAGCAATGGGCAACTGTTGCTCTGCTAGTGCAACTACTCGCGTAGCAGCAGGTGAAAAATCGCCCAGCTGACAGCTCATGGGTTATTACGATGATCCCATCTTTCACCAGACGCGCCGAGCAGCCTGGGGCGAGAAATCCTGGAGGCCCACAATGTCTACCGCTCCAGACACGCCGCACCCCCACTGCAGTGGAGCTCCAAGGCGGCCCAGGCAGCCGAGCGATGGGCCAAGAGACTAGCTAGTCTAGGTATAGTACTTAGTGCTGCGTTTCTGTCCTACTGTAATCGTTGACGTATCCGTCAGGGCGACTGGAGCACGACCCCGGCTCAGGTATGGGACAAAACCTGTACCAGAAGAGCGTGGTAGGTGCTCAGCTGGAGCTAGCTGGGCGGGAGGTTGTGGACAACTGGTACGAAGAGATCAGGAACTACGACTACAGCAAGCCGGGCTTCTCTGCCGCTACTGGTCATTTCACTCAGGTGAACCTCTGGATAAACTTTATTGGAGCTATATAATAATATTATCACAACAGGTTGTGTGGGTTGGGACCACTCATATGGGAGCGGCCAGTGCCACGCAGGGAAACTCTGTGTTTGTAGTTGCTAACTACACACCTCCAGGCAATGTCAAACAGAACTTCTCAGAAAATGTTCGACGAAAAACATGAATAGTTGCATTCAGTCAAACTTGTTTCTTGTGTCTTGTCATCTCGTACTTGGCGTCATCTGTCAGGAAACTGTATGATAGAAAATTGATAATAATGTGCTTATGTCGCGGAAAATCTGAATCAATTATAGGCTTCAGATCAATGAAGGAACTCAGAGTTTTGTCTGTGAATGATAGCTACTTAGCAACTGTGTCTGGCAGAGTCATACCTGTACCAGAGGAGTGGAATGGGGGCAGTGCTGAGGTGCCAGAGAGCATGAGCATCAACGGCCCACAGGAGAGGAGGAAAGTCCAGTAACTCTAGCAACACAGTGCAGCTTCCCCACAAAACCGCCACCACACATTTCCACACATAATGTCTCCTCCTCCATTCCTGCAGAATAAGCTGTTAGTATAAGTTTCTCCTGCAGGTTATTGGTATACACCTTGATGCTCCAGGCAGTCCACACAACAGCATACACTGTACCTGTGGAAAAGTCTAAGACCTCATACACACTATTATCGACACACCTGCTATTACACACACTGCCATGTTATAGCCATAGTTGAACCTCTCACTCATGGAGAGGTAGGCAACATGCAGCAGGAACAGACCCATCCACACAGCTCCATACAAACATTGCCTGTTCATGACAAGGCTATATAATCAAAAGCACTGAATATTGGCTTTTTAGTTCGATTTCATGCCATAACTCTCATACGAAAATTGCTATTCAGGCCAGTGTAGCACTGAACCTGTTGGTATCGACTCTTTTGTTATCTCATTGTGCAGAAAACATGGTAACAAACAGACAGTAACCATGACATGTATGTACGTAACCCCCACTGCGCATGTGCACTGAGTTCAAAACATACCATAGCAATGCTCCCCTTCCACTCAGTCTGAAAGATGGAATGCAATGCAGCAGTAAGACATGCTGAGGTTCTGCAGCCATTACCTGATGAACTGAACTATGAGGCCACACACAATGAGCAAGGCTGCACTGAAGTAGTCCATCTTCTCAGTCCAACCAACATCTCTGGTGTGAAAGACAGCAGACCATAGCCAAGTATTGACAGAGACCTGTGGAGACACAGTGTATCATATAACCAGTGGAGTGAGGGGAGATTTGTGCTGACCAGGAGCTCCACATGTAGCACACTGTGAAGATGGTAGTCTGAAGGCGAGCTGGTAGAGAAACGGTGGTAGCCCACGACAACAGCAGCACCGTTCAGTAGTGAAAAGAGGACAGATGCAGGCTCCTGAACACCTAGCAGTCTAACAAATGGCCACTTTTGGGAGAGGAGAGGACGGGAAAATAGTGTAGTCTTGCTATACACAAATACCTTGCCGTGGAACTGTCGCACAGGCCTATTATGATGCACATCTTCTCGTGTGACTTGGTGCATGCAGTAGTATCCACAGTCTTCCTCGCAGCTCCATCCCAACAGAGGGAGAGGGAAAGGCAGGGGATCAACTGACCTGAGATCACCGCATGTCTACAGCAGCTTACTCCCAACTTCCTCTTCCTCACCTGCTGCATTTCGATAGAGTACACTGATCGACACACAGCCTAAACTCTGGCGACCTGTCTCCCGAACTGCAGCTACAGCTGAGCACTTGAACCAAGAACAGCACCACTGTCGTGGTGCGCTTCATTTGGAGTTAGCCACACCACCCAACCGGCAACCGGAGACTAGCGGAATGGCCACGCGGTCGGTGCGAGGGGAAAGAGAGAGGAGGAGAGAGAGGAAAAGGTACAAAAAGTATGTAATAACTGTTGCAGTGGTTGTTTGTTGGTGTTGGAAGAAGGTCAACCAGTAGAGATGGTAAAAGGAGGCATCGCTCCCTGAGCAAGGAGCGCCGTTCATGGAACAAAAGCTACATATCTAGAAGTAGAGAAAGGAGGTCGAGAAGCAGAGAACGGAGGTCGAGAAGTAGGGATCGGAGGTCAAGAAGTAGGGATCGGAGGTCGAGAAGTAGGGATCGGAGGTCAAGAAGTAGGGATCGGAGGTAATGTGTTAGGTTCAGTGTTCAAACCTATTTTCATGTGTGATATAATTGTGTAGGAAGAGATCGTCCGAGGATAGTAGTTCCGACAAAGAAGGAAGTCCAAAGTGAGTTACTTTGACTGATATCGTGACTATTAGTTTGTGCTTATGCGTGTCTTTCAGACCTCCAGTGCAAAGCTTGCAAGAGTGAGATCCTTGCTTTTTTTAACTCTGAAGTCATGTAATGGTATGTTACGTAGTGAAACAAAGGAAGAAGCAGCTGTAGAGAAGCGTCAGCCCCTGTCGTTGGACGAACTAATTGCCAAGAGGACTGCAGAGCAGAGTGCGGAGTCAAAACCAGTGTTTCTGAGTCGAGAAGAGCGGGCAGCACTGGCCCTGAAGAGAAGAGCTGAGCAGGTAGAGGCCCGGGCCAAAGCCAGACTGGAGCTGGGCAAGAACAAGTTTTCATCAGCTGCGCTCTCGGAGCAAGACCATCAGCGGATGAATGAAGAGGTGATGTCATGTCATGTGTGGCATGTTGTGGCAGTGAACAGAGAGCACTGTGCAGGAGCGAGAGAAGTGGTACAGACAGAGGGAGATGGGCAAGGACAGAGACAGAGAGATGGATGCCATCAAGTCTCGTTACCTCGGTGGCGAGAAGAAGAGGCGAAAACTGAGGCGTCTTGCAGACCGCAAGTTTGTGTTTGACTGGGATGCAGGTGATGACACGTCGGTTGACTTCAATCCTCTGTGAGTTAGCCGAGGTTCTCATTTTAATTGCTCTATCTCGTCCTCTGCCAGATATCGCAGTAAGCATCAGGCCCTGTTCTTTGGTCGTGGCCATATTGCTGGAATTGATATCAAGGTCAAATGAGGTTGTGTTTTCTAGCAATTCACAATTACTTTCTTTCACCAGGCTCAGAAGAAGGAGCAGTCTAAGTTTTATTCCAACCTAATGGGAGAGAGGATGACAGACGACCAGAAGAAGCAGGCTCTGTATGTACGTGGTACTGTAGTTGCAGGGTCTCATGTGAGTGTGCAGGGTGCGGGATGAGTCCGTGAAGGAAAAAGAGCGCAAGACGAAATTCGATGAGAGACACTGGTCTGAAAAGAGTCTGCCACAGATGGCCTATCGCGACTGGAGAATCTTTCGTGAAGATTACAACATCGCCACGAAAGGAGGTCGTATTCCATATCCTCTGCGCTCGTGGGCAGAGGCGGGAATCAGTTCTGATATTCTGGAAGTCATCCACTCACTGCACTACAAGGTAGACACCTCATTGGTGTGTACACACGCAACCACGAACGCACAGACGTACGCACGCACTACGCACTTGTTGTGGTATGTATTTCGTGCAGGAGCCAACTCCTATCCAGAGGCAAGCTATTCCTATTGGTTTACAGAACAGGGATATCATTGGAATAGCCGAGACTGGTGGGTATATACATACCAACTCCCATAATTATTGTGTCTCACTCATCTTACCTCTCATCCAGGTAGTGGCAAGACAGCTGCTTTTGTGATTCCCCTGCTGACCTGGATTACCAGCCTACCCAAGATAGTGAGGTCAGTGAGCTAACATCTTTGTGGCCTCAGCTCACCCCCCACGTTAGGGAGAGTGAGGCTGATCAAGGTCCATATGCTATCATACTTGCTCCTACAAGGGAGCTGGCTCAGCAGGTAATGTTTCTTGAAGGTTGTGTGTGTGTGTGTGTGCGTGGGTGTGTGAATGAAGGAAGGTGTTGCAGATTGAAGAAGAAACTCTGAAGTTTGCAGCCCCGCTGGGACTGAGGACAGTAGCAGTTGTCGGGGGCATCTCGAGGGAAGACCAGGGGTTCCAGCTGCGACTGGGCTGCGAGATTGTCATAGCAACCCCTGGAAGACTCATCGATGTATTGGGTGAGTTGGGGGCTTATTCTCAGTCTACCAGTTGCAGCAACTTTTGAACTCTCCGCAGAAAACCGTTACCTAGTATTGGCTCAGTGTACCTATGTCGTGTTGGATGAGGTAAGTTTGTTGGAGTGGTGATGTATACTAACGTTCTGTGCAGGCGGATCGAATGATTGATATGGGGTTTGAGCCAGATGTGCAAAAGATACTAGACTACTTGCCAGTGACCAACCAGAAGCCAGACACAGAGGAAGCGGAGGATCCCGAGAAGATGAAGGCCAATATGGAGTCCTCTAAACACAAGTACCGTCAGACTGTCATGTTTACTGCCACCATGCCTCCGTCAGTGGAGCGGTTGGCTCGCTCCTATCTTCGCCGCCCTGCAATTGTGTACATTGGTTCAGCAGGTTTGCCACAGTCTGTCTTAGCTGGTGCTGCTGGTAATGCGGTGTTGTGTCAGGCAAGCCGACTGAGAGAGTTGAGCAGAGAGTTATCCTCCTGGCAGAGGGTGAGAAGAGGAAGAAACTGCTGGAGATCCTAGAAGAGCCTGAGCCACCCATTATCGTCTTTGTTAATCAAAAGAAGGGAGCTGATGTGTTGGCAAAATCTCTAGAGAAGATAGGGGTGAGTCAATCTGTCCTAAGACAGCAAGTCCGTGAAATCTACGTGTGGTAGAAGCCCGAGGGCCCTTCATGAGCATTCCGAGCGTAGCTATATGTGAAGGACCCGAAGGCTTCTAACCTCCATAGATTTTATTTGGTACGTACTGGCGCACTTGTTTTACGTGTGCTCGGGTTTAGCGGGAAACGGCACCATGGACACTTAATAAACACGATGCGAGTTGCAACGCGATTTAGTAAGCACATTTTTTCGCATGAGTGTGTACTAAATACCATCCACACGATGTGGTGTGTCCAGTACCGAGCAGCCGTTCTGCACGGTGGGCGGAACCAGGAACAGAGGGAGTTTGCTCTGTCCAGCCTGAAGGAAGGGGAAAAGGATATTCTGGTCGCTACTGATGTTGCTGGCAGAGGAATAGACATACAGTAAGTGGTGTGTCCTGTTTAATGTTAGGTATTATAAACATTATAGGGATGTATCGATGGTGATTAACTACGACATGGCCAAGAATATTCAAGATTACACTCATCGAATTGGGAGGACTGGCAGAGCAGGAAAAACAGGAATTGCAGTCACCTTCTTGACAAAGGATGACTCTGCTGTGTTCTATGATCTGAAGCAGGTTTAGTTAACTCTGAGTAGTTTTCTGTTCAACTATATAGTGTTGTGTCCGCAGGCTATCCTTGAAAGCCCAATAAGTGTATGTCCTCCAGAGCTGGCCAGCCACCCTGAAGCCCAAGTCAAACCTGGCAAAGTGACGGCAGTAAAAAAGAGCCAAGAGACAATTTTCTTACACTAACACAGACTATTGCTATTACTGGTGTAGTTTTATTATTGTGATGTTTGCTATGAGGCAATATGCGGTCGTCATGGAAATGATATAATAGGCATACATACCAAGTTTCATCTCTGTGTGCTACCATTGGAAAGTTTAGGAGTGAAGAAGTATATGCTGACCAAAATTCCTGGCGACCGACCAGTCTCAAACAACACAAGAAGGTTAGTGAAGTGGACAAGCCTGTGGTTGCACAACATGTGTTGAACTTACAGAGTGACAGCGCGTTACTGTTGCTGTCATTGACCAGAACTACATAGAAAACCATATTAGGTGGTGTAGGAATAGAGCAGAAGGCCTTGAGTTTGTGAGAAACATACATCTCTTAACCAGGTTGCAGCTGTTACCTGGTGGGTCACCAGATGGAGAGAGACAACTAGACACTGTGACAAGACCTTGTAAGACTTAATTTCATGTCATGTTTGTGGTTCACTCCTGGAGTAAGGTGCAGCCCTGAATATCCTTCATTGGCTCAGGAGGCCATAAAGTTTTTCAAATATCCAGTGCCTATGTGCTTCTCACAATGCACATGAGTAAACGAAAGGACAAACAAACAATGCCTAACAGTTTGACTATAGTTGGAGGTTGGAATAGCAAAACTATCTAGCTGTACCTAAACACTTATTTTTCTTGCAATTTCCTTCTTTACCACCCTTTACAACAAGGGTTTGAACAGTTTTGCATTTGTTGTACGCACATGAGTAAACGAAACGACAAACCAACAATGCCTAACAGTTTGACTATAGTTGGAGGTTGGAATAGCAGATACTATCTAGCTGTACCTAAACACTTATTTTTCTAGCATTTACCAACAAGGGTTTGAACAGTTTTGCATTTGTTGTACGCACATGAGTAAACGAAACGACAAACCAACAATGCCTAACAGTTTGACTATAGTTGGAGGTTGGAATAGCGATACTATCTAGCTGTACCTAAACACTTATTTTTCTAGCAATTTCTCTTTACCAACAAGGGTTTGAACAGTTTTGCATTTGTTGTACGCACATGAGTAAACGAAACGACAAACCAACAATGCCTAACACTTTGACTATAGTTGGAGGTTGGAATAGCGATACTATCTAGCTGTACCTAAACACTTATTTTTCTAGCAATTTCCTTCTTTACCACCCTTTCACAAGGGTTTGAACAGTTTTGCATTTGTTGTACGCACATGAGTAAACGAAACGACAAACCAACAATGCCTAACAGTTTGACTATAGTTGGAGGTTGGAATAGCAAAACTATCTAGCTGTACCTAAACACTTATTTTTCTTGCAATTTCCTTCTTTACCACCCTTCCGACAAGGGTTTGAACAGTTTTGCATTTGTTGTACGCACATGAGTAAACGAAACGACAAACCAACAATGCCTAACACTTTGACTATAGTTGGAGGTTGGAATAGCGATACTATCTAGCTGTACCTAAACACTTATTTTTCTAGCACTTTACCAACAAGGGTTTGAACAGTTTTGCATTTGTTGTACGCACATGAGTAAACGAAACGACAAACCAACAATGCCTAACAGTTTGACTATAGTTGGAGGTTGGAATAGCAGTACTATCTAGCTGTACCTAAACACTTATTTTTCTTGCAATTTCCTTCTTTACCACCCTTCCGACAAGGGTTTGAACAGTTTTGCATTTGTTGTACGCACATGAGTAAACGAAACGACAAACCAACAATGCCTAACACTTTGACTATTGTTGGAGGTTGGAATAGCGATACTATCTAGCTGTACCTAAACACTTATTTTTCTTGCAATTTCCTTCTTTACCACCCCTTTCACAAGGGTTTGAACAGTTTTGCATTTGTTGTACGCACATGAGTAAACGAAACGACAAACCAACAATGCCTAACACTTTGACTATTGTTGGAGGTTGGAA